GTTGTTCCAAAACAACTTGTTTCAATCCCCAGTCCTACAACTTGAGTATCTTTATGGCAGGATACACCTTTGACTGATATAATCTTTTGAAATTTCCATTTACGATTCTAGATATTGTGAGATAGAAACTTATATAACCAAGTTGTCATAATTTCAGTAGTAAAGAGTAAATACATGTTCATTATTTTGCTAATCCTAGAGGCAACAATTACCATAAATCTTGTCTACTCATGATTTACATATTTATTAAATGAGATTCAGATCTTTACTGGAAACAAAGTTTATGCAAGAAGCAAATCCTGTGAAAGAAGAACATCAGAGGGGAAGATAAACACTTAAAACTTAAGACAAATGTTTTCAGCAATTTTATTGCTTTCAGATGTGAAGTAGTTGCTCTTGTTCCATTTTTAGTCTAGTGGATCAGACTCCATAACAGCAAATGGCCATGTAGTTCTCTAACTATAACCTTGGTTAGAAATAGGAATAGTGGAGGGAAGGGAAAGTCAGAGACTCAGACCTGGAAGCCTGTGATATCTACAGCAGGTCTTCATGTGTCTATCTTTATATTGGCCTCCCCTTATGAGTTCAGTTGAGTAGTCACTAGACTAGATGATAGTCAAGATCTCTGACAGCTCACAATTCTGAAGGAGTTTGTTTCTCACATGATCTATTTCTGGTGATACACTCACATTTTGACCCTCTTCCCTTGCAAGGAATGAAATCCATCTGGGTGTGGTCACTTGCTCTTTTTGCATTTTGTATCTCTTAGCTATCAAAGTATTATCAAATTTGAAAGAACACATAGTTCCAGCAGAGGCAATGCAGAGAGAATTAGAACTTGTGTGGTGTCCACATCATGAAAATTATTCATTACATATAAAAGTTCAGGAAAATCATACTAGAACACTATCTTATTCACTGTTGTGTTGCTTTGAAGAGACACTATCACCAAGGCAACTTATGAAAGAAAGCATTGAATTGGGTGCTGGCTTGCAGTTCTAGAGGGTGAGTGTGGGATTTTCTGTCACACCACGACCAGCAGAGTATCAATCCATGTCAGACAAGAAAAAAGTCCCTTCAACATGACTCAGTAGCTGGTGTTGGTTCAAACTTCAAGACTCTGGCACCGGTTGTTTATTTCAGACATATTTAAGTATAGCACAATTTGGAAAAATGTTTCCTGGTAATAATTAACTAAATTACACAGGTACAACAAAGCCTAAGACGTGATCACATTGGAACCCTTTGTAAAGTACATGTGACCTCTTCCATCAAGATGTGTTCTATAGATGAACTGCATGTTACATCTTAAGGGTCAGGGAGAGGATTTACTGTGGTCTTGGTCATACAGATAGAGCAAAGGTCACCAGGGTACTAACCACCTTTGCTCCCAGCTCTCTGGGCAGAAAATAGGTTATATATATATTTTCCTTTGAAGAGACAACCCTGCATGTTTAGCGTTCCTGGTTTCCCTAGAGTTTATCTGTAAGCACAAGGACCTGGTACCTCTTACAGGTAAGTTCAGGACAATCATAGTAGGGACCGTGATAACAGGCAAGCAGGCATGGTGCTGGAGCAGTAGCCAAAAGTTTACATTCTGATCTACAATTTGGAGGCAGAGACAGAGTGATATGGTTTGACTTGGGTTTTTTAAAGCCCATCCAACAGTGACACACCTCCCCCATCAAGGTCATGCTTCCTAATGTTTCCAAAAACACTTTTGACAACTAGGAACCAGTCATTTAGATACATGAGCCTATGGGATCTTTCTCTTTCAAACAACCACAAACACATAATGATATTTATTTCATCTTACATTTATCTTTAAGTGTTTAACATATATACAGTTATAATTTAGCATGTATTAGTCTGGTCATTTTTATAATTTATAAAAATAAAAGTACGTAAGATATTATTCTAGTTTTCTTTCTGTTGCTATGACAAATGCCATGACCTGAATCAACTTAAGGATGAAAATGGTTTAGTTTATATATTCTACTTCATTATAAAGGAAGTCATCACAGGAATTCTAATAGGAATTTGAGGCAGCAATCATGGATGAACCTTGTTTATTGGCTTTTTTTCAAGCTTATGTTTAGATAGCTTTCTTATACAGTCTAGGACCACTTGCCTAGGGATAGTGCTGCCCACAATGAGCTGGGCCCTTCCACATTAATAAGCAATCAAGGTAGTCTCTCGTAGACAAATCCACAGGCCAATCTGATCTGGACAATCCCTCAATTGAGATTCCCCTCTTGGATGACTTTGGGTCATGTCAATACATATTTTGTAGTATGTTAATACTACAAAAATAGTAGGTATATCCCACTTTTCTTGAAACTTTTTCAGGAATCTTTGTAATTTTGTACAAAAATGTTTAATTAAAAAACATTTGTTTTGTCTAGAGATTTAACTTTCACTGTATTTATATTTATCATATTATTTATAAATCTGAGTTTTGATATATGATGAGTCAAACTAATGGATTTAAAATATATCCAAGGACCACTGAAGAAGTATTTTATATTTAACCTTAGTCAAAAAGAAGTCAGGAAGGAAAATGATTGTTCTATTCCTATTTCATGTTTTTATTTTGTTGTGGACAAATGTAGGCAAAAATTATAACATTAAAACTAAATTTAATTTTAGCCAGGTAGTGGTGGTACACACCTTTAATCCCAGCACTTGGAAAGCAGAGGCAAACGGATCTCTGAGTTCTAGGCCAGCCTAGTCTACAGAGTAAGTTTCAGGACAGCCAGGGCTACACAGAGAAACCCTGGCTCAAGAAACAAAACAAAATAAAACAACCCCCTCCTAAATTTAATTCTAGAAAGGGCATAAAAGTATAGTGATTTTAATCCTCATTTTAAAAATAGCAATGCATGCTTTTACTAGCTGACTTTATAGTGAATTCCTGTTTGCAAGTTTTGTTGGATCTTTGCCAAGGAGCATATGCAAATGGTTAAAAAAGGAAAGTGGGGTTATGATTTTTTCCTTGTGGATTTTTAGTGATGTATATAGGTATTATAGTCTACCAATGTTTAAGTTTACAAATTTTTGTCTTCTTGTTACTTCCCACATGACTATGTTGTCATTTATGTTTCTCTTCTTCTTCTCACTTCCTTATTTTTGGCCTATAAATGTAAGACTGAAGAGAAACTGTCCCTGAGTGGGTGGGAGAATAAGAAACCATATGAGAAGTTGGGTATAGGAACAAGGCTAAACATGTCCTCGTTTGACTTTTAAGAGTCTCACAAGGTAGTAAAATATGCCATCAAGCAACTATAAGTCTCAAATGAACCTCACACACCTTGATGTTCAAAAAATTATTGATTGCATTACTTTCACAATCTGCTAAATATTGTGCCAGAGATAAGACAAATGAGTCACTGTTGATACCTTTGAAAGGTTTAAAAAAAACAAACAAACCAAAAACTAGCATGAGAATGAAGGTGGTCACTGAGAAAAATTTATAATGCACAGGATAAGTACAATTAGATGTAACTGATGTTCTACCTAGTCTGAAAGAGATGTGAAAGCATTCTGGGAAGGGGTGCTCAAGTTGACCTAGAATAGATGAATGGATGCAAGGGACGAGAGAAAATTGAGGATAAAGAGCTTCAGCCACAAAGGAAAATACAATCCCATTGCCTGTGTATAACATTAGAGTTTTAGCCTTGGTGTATATTGGGCTTGAGTAAAAAGCAAAGAGAAAGGTAGAATGGAGTTAATTCCTGCAGGACATCTTATACCAAATGAATCTTGGGCTTGATTATGTAGTGATAGGAAGGTTGGAAAGGATCAACCATAGGGTGTATGATCATGAGCAGATTGACTTTGAAATGATTCCACCCCAAATGCAGGTAAAGAATAAACCTTCAGTAAGCAAGCATGTGCAAAAGAATATAGTCTAGGAGATTGTTAAAACAGTTTAGAAAGGGTGAATTTCACATTGAACTGGGACAAATGGAGTCTGCAAAACACCATATTGCTGTGAGTGGCTAAGGTGAACACTGGCAAGTCATAGGCCTACTACTTTCCACTCTGTTTGAATCAGATGCTTAAACCAAGAGCCAGGGCCCATTCTGTGAAGAGGAATTGAGTGTATATAATTTGTTTTTATAGCTGGGATGAAGATGGCTCAATTCCTTCTCTGTGGTTCCCATAGCTGTGCTGGGCACCTGGTATCATGCCTCAGTTTCTGGCTGCTGTGAATGAATACCCGATAGAAACAATTTAAGAGAAGCAAGACTTATTTGGGGTCACCAGTCAGAGGGATACAGTTATCATAACAAGAAACGCAGGGCAGCGGGGGTCCTCATAGGAAGTGGGAGCTGATGGCACAGTTTCTTACATGTTGTTGATAAAGAAGAGTTATCTAGGTGGACCTGGGCCAGACTGTAATCCCAAATCCCACTCCCAGTAACCTCCTCCCTCCAGCTAGGTTTCACTTCCCACAGTTTCCACAGCCAGCACCACCACCAGTCAGGGGCCAAAGGTTCAGAGGCACGAGCCTGTAGGAGACATTTCATATCCACTCCAAAATGAGCTACACCAGGTCATGTTCTGAATGTGTGATGCATATCCACAACTCAAAAATATAACAATGCCAAATGTTTTCTTATATGATCTTTCTGTGGACGAGTACAAAATTGCTTGCTGAAATGTGTTGTGTCTATGAGATGGTTTTTTTTCCCCTCAACTTGCCTTTGATCTGTGCTCGTGTAGTAATGACTCCCTAGATTTTGTAGCTGATAATCTTAGGCACATCTGGTGTTGGGAGTGAAATCCCTTTGAATTTTCTACACACAGTGTCATCATTGACTCAGAGGTTCTACTTTTCCTAAGGAAGCCAGGAAAATCATAGTGTTCATTAGTTTAACCATGTTTTAAAAAGCATAGCCAAAATATTCAAATTTCATTTTTAACTTAATTATTCTCTTTTTTGGTTATTCAATGTGTTTTTCTTCTCTCCCTCCCATTTTTTTTTCCATTTTCAGGAAAGTAAGATTTTCAGCTTCACCCTTCACCTGTCTTAGAAATAACAACATATCATAATCAGAGATTTGTAAGTATCCTTTTATTTTCCTCTACTTAAGAAATTAGATACTGATTTGGGGAAAGAAATAGCTCCTTTGTTTGACCAAATATAGCTACACAATGTGAATGGGCATGAAAATTTGAAAAATCTACCACTCTTCAAAAACAGCAGCAAAATGTTATAAAAGAAACCAAACACCAATCAAAAATCCTTTACCATGTGTGTGTACAGCTAGTTACTATTGCAATTATTCTTTGGCCAATTCCTCTTTCTTGACGTCATTTTCATTGTGCTTTTCTCTTATGTGTGTCTGTGTCCACGCATTTTATAAGACTGACATGTTACGTATTGCCATCATGTCCATATGGTTTAGAAAGTTTATGACACAAGAAGGAAGAGAAGAAGAAGAAAGGGCATGAATACAACAGGAAAGAGAAGCATGTTTATTCATTTAAAAGTCATGTGAAAAAAATAAAAGTCATGTGATTTGTATTTTCCATGCTTAACAGTTTTAGTAAACTTTTTAAAAGCTCATGTTGCATCTCACATAGCTAAGGTCTGTTCAGTTTCAATACATTCCTGAAATGCCTATTACTGTGTCATAATAATTGTGTTCAATGGGCCAGTTCAGGATCTGACAATCAGACAGATCCATCCTATGCTACTTAGTCAAAAAGTTTAAGGTAAGCAAACATATTGACAGATGTGTTATTAGGTAAATCTAGAAGAAATTTACCAGTGAGAGAAAAACAAATAGAAATATGTCCTACAAATGCTATCTGTAATAATAGCATTTTATACCTTATTACTTTAAGGAAAACTGTGAGCTTAATAAGGCTTGTATTGCTTACCACTAAAGCCAATATTGAGTGACTATATACTAAGTTCAAGAGTGTTGTTCCAGGGACCATGGTGTAAAGAGAGATCAGGAAAGCAAGGCCACTAGCTAGGGTCCTTAGTAGCTAGGGAACCTTGACAGCACATGTCTGGATTTCACAGTTACAAATATCTGTATTTGAGGGTTGTTGACCTGAAATGATCACTGCTTATGACCTTTTTATAATCCAGGGAAATCCTTGAATCACTGTTACTTAGTAGTTAATATTTATTTCATCTCGGCTAATCTAAGGTCGCTATAATAACCTTACCATTTGTGAGGTAGCTAATGAAACCAGTCAATGGGAACTTAATATATTTTTTAACTTGCATCGTCAGATAAAATCCAGCATATTGTTTAATTAAAAGGGTGTGTTCAACTCTTAAACATTCTGTAGTGGTGTGATCTGTTTCCTAGCTACGTTACATTACTTTTTGGTTCAAATCCATCCACTTATTAATTTTCTGATCTTGGGCAAATTACCTGAACTCTCTGATGATTTTGATAGTTTCAGTTTTGACACTGCAGTGCATGCTATGGTGTTTCTTTCACAGCTTGTAATAGGAACTAAATGACATGATGAAACAGTACTACATAGAAATGAAATATGCCTGCATTACTATCATATTTCCTCATCTTTCCTATGGCATTTTGTAAATTTTGAGCTTTTTATCCAAAGATGACTTTCTTAGTAAACATCTATAAACTATTTTGTGAGTTAAGTTGGTCTCTGTGGGATCATCGAGAAAACTGTTTCAGGATGGATTCTTAGCTACACTTCCTGTTGCTTTCAGCAAGCATCTTAGACCCTTGAACTGCAAAGTGATCTGTGGGCCAGACTTTGAGAAAGATGCCTTTTCTTCTAATGGTGATTCTCAAACTACTTGGTCATTAATATTAATGAAAATGTTTTGGTTTGGGTTTTAAGGAATGGGTATTCCTAGATCTCTTCCTCCTGAAATGTCCTGATTCAGCAGATTGAGTAGCAGTTTAGATTTTCAGAAAACTTTCTCTGATTTCTATGTTTTGAATTACAGCCCCTTTCCATCCCTAAGTATTGAGACAGGAAGCTGTACATATGCCTGGCCTGTGTAGGTGAGGGGATATACTTACGTTTGGCAAGTCTAGATTAAGTGGAAGGAGTGAAAAACTTGTGTTGAGATATCTAATAAAAGCCAGGTGTAAAACTCATTAGATGGCAGAGCTTCTCCAGCCAGAAAGGACTGTGGATACCATCTAGTTTAAGTCTCTTACTCATAGAGGGAGCGGGGGCGGGGGGGGGGGGGATAACTTAGTGCTTTGCCCAATGTCACAGGAGAAGAGAGATTGAAAATCATATTTCTGCTCCCAACTCCACTCTGTCCCTACTATATTAGGCTGCCTCTGCCATTGCAAGAACTGCTAACTCCCTTGAAACCAGTTTCTCTAGTGCTGAATTGGGCTTCTGAGCAGTCTTGTAGTGACCAAGTAGAAAGTGCTCTTTGAGTCAGCCTTCCTCTTCACGTCCATCTGCAAGAGTGTCTTCCTTAGGAATCTCACTTAGCGGGGAGGCCTCTGAGGCCAAAGAGGGGCAGGCTGTTTGTTCCATGTCCACCTCTACTGTTACCCTCCTGTCTCTTACCCTGTGCCTTCTCTCAAACTCCATAGCTGTGCTCTTTGCTAAGAAAGAAAATCCAACAGGAAGACCAGATTTCTAAAGAGAGACGAACATCTCTCAGATGAGAGGAAGTCTCCAGGTAACCTGTCCTGGGTTTCCTCAACATTAATGGGTTGTCCACATTGACCCCCACAGGCATTGTCACAATGAATCTTCTCAACTTCGAGAGGTTTTGTTTTGTGAACCCCAAGGAAGTGAAAGCAGAGGCTTAGACAGTTTATGTGTTTACCTGTGTGAGAAGCAGAAGAACCAAGCTCAGATGACAAATAATTGCAAAGCCCTATGTACCTCATGCTTTGTCACTGATTTCTTTTAGCTCTGCCACATGTAATTCTGTGAAAACAGGTCAATTTTTGAATGCAAATGATGTGAGATTTCATGAATTGATAAGTAGGACACATAAGCTGTCTTGTTAATTATTCTCACTTCTTACTTAGACTATTGCAGTGTTCTCTAAACTCTTATATTTCACATATGTGTGCAGGCATGGATGTGTGTGGAGGGCAGGGATCACCTGTCTCTAACTCACCAGCTCTGGGATTACTAGTGTGTGCCACTATGCCTGGCATTTTTTTTTTAACATGGGTCTTGGATATTCAATTCAGATTCTGATACTAAGAGAGAGTGCTGAGTCAGGCTAACAAGTACTTTACTGGTGAGTTATCTCTTCATATCCTGTAAACTCGTGTCTTTATAGGCATTTGTGTGTTGTATGTATGTGTTCATTTGATTGTGTTCATGTGGCTAAGAGTACATGTGCACTTGCCTGTGGAGACCAAAGATTGGTGTCTACTTCTTATAACAGAATCTCTCTTTTAACCTTTTAAAAGATCAAATACTTCCAACATATAAACAGGATATATATATATATATAAAATATACCATTTCAAAACATAGGGAAGGGAGCATAGTGAGGAAATACTAGACCAAAGCAAGACTGAAAATCAAAATCAGCTGGGCAAACTCCAAACTATGCGTCTTCATGTCTAATGTTAAAATGCTCTTCAGATCTCCAACTCCTTTCAGCTTTGTTGACTGCAATGTACTTCTTTCTCTGTGGCTTGTTCCACTCCATGTTAGCAGCTCTCTTTGGCAGGTATTCCATGGCTCTGGTATGCCCAACATCTTGGGGTCTCCAAAGCAATCCAGGCTTTACCTTCACAGCTTCATACAATGGCCTCTCTAGGCCTCCATTCAAAGACACTTCCTGACACAGGCCTGGCCTCAGCAATTTTCCTTAGGTACAGATGACAATTCCATAAGCCTTTTCTTCTATCCTTGACTCTAAAGCCAGAACCACATAGCTGAAGCTGCCAAGTTCTGCTGCTTGCCTGGGCTGGAACATGGCCCCCTTGTTTAATTACATCTTCACAGCCTTTCTGTTTTCCATGGTTTTCTTCACTGCCTAAGCTTGGCTGTCCTGAAACTGGATCTGTATACCAGGCTGGCCTCAAACTGAGAGATCCGCCTGCTTCTGTTTCTGGAGTGCTGGGATTAAGGGCAGGCACTACCACACCCTGCTCTAAGCTTTTCTTTAATTCCTTTTCACAAGTTGTAAATTTAGCTGGGTGGGATCATGCCCTGAGGTCACCACTCCCTTTATTCCATTTTTAAAATCTATTATATCTCCTTGAACACAGTATTTAGCTCCATCCCACTTCCTGGTGCTCCTTTTCTCCTCAAATTATGCATTTTGTATTTTTCCTTCCTCAGCTTGTTCCTTTTCATTACAGATCTGTATAAGAGTGACCACTAATAACCACACAACAGAGTCAATACTAAGCTATTTTGAGATTTCCTTTGCCAATGGAATTAGTTCAAATCTCTTCATGTTATCCTCAGGCAGACTCTTCAGACAAGGGCAAAAAGTAGCCACATTCTTCACCAAAATATCACAAGAATGATCTCTAGGTAATATACTAATATTATTCTCCACTGAAATCTCTTGAACCAGGTCCCTGCAGTTCAAATTGCCCTCAGCACTACTGTCATCCATGTTCCTACTAGAATGGCCCATTAGGCCCCCGCTTAAAGTGTTCAACTGCTTTTCTAATCCGTAATCCCAAAGTCCATATTCCTCCAAACAAAAAACATGGTCTGGCCTATCAAAGCAATACCCCAGTCCCTGGTACCAACGTCTATCTTAATTATGGTTTCTATTGTTGTAAAGAGACACCGTGACCACAGCAATGCTTATAAAAGAAAACATTTAATTGGGGTGGCTTACAGTTTCAGAGTCTTAGTCCATTATCACCATGATGGGACATGGCGGTGTGCAGGCAAACATGGTGCTGGAGAAAGAGCTGAGATTTCTACATCTTGATCCATGGGCAGTAGGAGTCCATCTTATACTAGGCATAGCTTGAGCATATGAGACCTTCAAGCCTGCCCCCACAGTAACACACTTCCTCCATCAAGGCCACACCTACTACAACAAGGCCACACCTCTTAATAGTGCTACTCCCTATGAGCTTATAGGGACCAATTATATTC